GTGTCTCCAAGGAAAAAACAAAAATAAAACAACAAAAAACTGAATTTAAAGGGTGTACAAAGAAATAGATTTTTAATCAGAAATAAGAAAGTAAAAACAGGATAATACGTAGACATGGGAAGCTTCAGATCAATGCTTGTTTGTTTTCATAAAAAAAAAATGTAATTAAGCAGTCATATTGGCTAAATATAGAAACAAAAAAGGAAACATACATAAAGGTAATCATGCAAATTAGCATGATTTTGTGAATTTGGTGTCTTGGTACCTAAACAGAATTTAACAAATCATGACTATTCTCCTTGCTACTTTTACATTATATTTCATGGAAAATTTTCTTTCCCTAGAGAATTCTGATAAGGTTTTTGCTATGTAATTATAATAGGAGAAGCAGACGAGGATTAAAGGAGCTGACAAAGGCACACAGTTAAATATGTGGAGAAATCTTATGTAGCTATTGCAGGACGGACACTTAAAAATATTCTGTTGCTAAGTACAAAATTAGGAAAAATTTTAATATTAGGTATCGGGTATTACTGTTCTTCTCGTTTACTATGTAGTTGTGACAATGAGATAATATTAATAAGACAGTCACTTGATAAAACCAAGGAAATAACACGTTCACTTGTAGGACAACATAAGTGATCATGTCCCATTATGACTGGAGGTAAGAGTTAGTATTGAACTCAAATGGGAATACTGTTATTTCCAGGGAAGGAAAAAAAGGGGACAGGATCGAGGACGTACACGCTAGACTTTAACTGCAAATGTGACCAGTGTTAAGAATGAATGAAGTTGGGTGGTAGACGCATACATGTTTGTTATATTTTCCTTTACATTTTTCTATATGTATGAAGTCTTTCCTAATTAACGAGATTAGTAATCGAGAGCTATACTTCAGTTTACTCAAGTTTGAAAAAGGATAACTCATCTTTAGATATTGAAAAGTTAATCCATCAGTTATCCATCAGTGGATAAATTAACTTGCTGAAGCCAGATGTATGTCCTGGAATTGACTAGTCTATAAGTATTAAAATAACTTTCCTCCATTTCAGGGGTAACGGCTCCTAAGATGTGAATTATTAAGAAGATATTTGTAATACTACCTATTTTTGAGCATTTCCAATTTAACTCAATATTGCTTTCAAAAATGAATTTGATCTTCACTTACCAGAACTTTCCATGAAATCAGCTCCATTGGCCGTTATAGGTGGCAGACAGATATTTGTGATTTCCTGCAAACCAAGTTCAAAAAATAAATACTTTTTAAAATGAACTGGATTTCAGAGCAATATTGGTGACATGTGCCCTTTTGAAAGTGATAGCACTACTGGAAGCCCAAATTCTTATAAGAATAACCATTCCCATGATTTCACATCTGAAGAACTAAAATCTCAAAGGCTCCATCTATATCAGCACTGACTCTCAAAATGAGGGTCAAGAAGTCTCTTAGTTCTCCTCTGCCCCTTATCCTATCACAATATCGATCGAATATTTTCTCTGTATGCTCAGAATAAATATTTCACAAACAACGTCTCTCTCTACCTTGTCTTCAGGATGAGCTCCTTCGATTCCCCACTGATGAATTGTTCCTTCTGAGCCATCAGGAACTGGGATAAAACCACTTGCCACTCCTCCAGACGGACCCGTCCCACAGTCACAGGTTAACAGAAGAAGTGGGGCCACTGGTGAAAACCAAAACAAAACATTCAAAGATTAGAACCACTTAGAAAGTATTTGACATGACGATCACCACAAAGAAATGTGACAAAGAAAATGCAGTACTTTAAATACCTATAAAAATTCCTAATATAGGGTGGTGCCTATGGCTCAAAGGAGTAGGGCGCTGGCCCCATATGCTGGAGGTGGCAAGTTCAAACCCAGCTCTGGCCAAAAAC